TCCCCGAGGGAGCTCCTTTTGTAGACGGAAGTCGTTCTATCTCGGGACGAGATGGTAGCCAAAATCGAAACGCAGAGCATGATGGGAATTACGGGCTCTTAGTCCCAGAGCAAAATGAGAGATATAATGCCGGTTGGATGGGACCAGATGAGATCGTCGCTCGTCAAAAGCAACAGGAAGAGAGCAACGCTCTGGGTGACCAGAGAGACAATCTGGGTCCCAACAGATCAAGCGACGTACATCCCATGCTCTTCGCCGGGATGGGGTCCGCTAGTTCCCGCGACCCTTCACTGAATCGACAGAGGAACAGGCGCGAGAGCGGATCCACTGCCCCGACCACGACGAACATCACCGATCACACGCACAATACCGTCCCTACCTCGATCGACGGGGATCATGAAACCTCCGTGATCGAAGGTAATGGTGTCGGCCATCAGCTTCGTGAGAGCCTCAAGAATGAACGAGCCCCGTCCAACATGGGCAGCGCTGCAGCAACGCCGTTTTCTGACGTTACCTCAGAAGGAGCCTACGGCTCCTATATAACAAAGCCCGAAGGTGATGCGAGGCGATCTAAGCCAAGTGTATCTGCGCTTGAGCTACAAATTCCAGGCCACTACCCACCCGCAAATCATATACCTGCGTGAAAGCATCCAATTGACGCAAATACTTCACTTCCAACTGCCTTTTTTGTTTTTCTCTGTACATTATATACTTCGTCAACGGGTGATCACCCGCGTCACTAGCTGAAGTCTCCTCGGTTTTCCTCTGGGTGACGATGTCACCGAGGCCAACGGTATGAACTGGCATACTTCACAATTGGGGTGCTTGGCGTTTTTTCTTTTTCGAATGAATGGATTGTTTGGATACAACTGTGGAGCCGGGGATCTGGATTGCTTGTCTGCTCGGCGTGCGCGCTTGTTTTGACTCTGAATTCCATGCAGTGCGATGTATTTCCTTTGTGGTTTCCTTTGTCATTTCCTATGTCATGCGTTATTGACTCTGATGTGTCACTTCCTTGTACTATATTCTTATATTTCCTGAAATACACGTCACGTCCCTTGAAGCATATGGATATCAGCCCACGATCTCAACATAGACAAGCCTCCAGAAATTACTACCGTACCACACGATATGGACGGCTAGACCGAGATCAGCGTGCAGAGTTCTTGCTCGCAAAATTGATCTGCTGAAGTAGTATACAAAGTGCAATGAATCTAGCCCCCCTCGACATCTTATCATGGTCATGGCATAGGAGCTTGCAAGTGCGGTCAAGGAACTCAATTATTGCCACATCAACAAATAGATCGATTGGCTTAGTGGTTAAGCACCTGCTACACAAGAAAATCGCACGGGATCGCAGTCGAACCCTGCATCGATCATTCCTTTCTTTTCTTTTATACTGATATATTCTTTCCCAAATATCATATCACCTAGTTTTCTTCGAGAACTATTTGTCTCTTCGCTGGTGATGGAATTCTTCGGTCGTCTTCACTACTGGGGGAACTACATGGTGTAAAGCGCATGTGCCGCCTTTAAATCATCAACCTCGCAAATACTACACCACAACGCTAAGTGACGGTAAATTGAGCGCCGTAGCTGCATTCGACACCATTTTAAGCGTTCAATTTACCAAGATCTTAGTCATTCTAGTATCATGTTCACTGGCTCACTTTAATTTATTGCTCCCTGAGTACTCCATACTTCCTGATAACTCGCCTTTCTCCTTCTGGTGTCAGCCTATACCGCTAGTCGACTAGGTGCTCTTGTCTATATAGAAAGAAACGAGCGAACTAACATTAATCAATTTTTAGCAGCGCAGACGACGACAAGGGAAAAACTAAGGATGATTAGGACCTTAGATATAATGATCTCAAGACCCTTTATTACGGGCAATTCAGCTTGATCTTGCTACCGAATCCTAGTAGAGATCGTGACCATATTTGATTTAAAGGATACTAAGGGCCACCATAGCAGACCGAAAAGGTGAGATGCCTCAAAGATTTGCTTGAGATCTACTGGACTGACTATGTCTTCAAGAAAACTGTCTTTGATGTCCCAAGTGAGACAGCCTATCTTCGACGTCATGGATCTCGCAATTTCACTGGCAATCCTCGTGAAATATTCATGACAAGAGAAGAATGATTGATGGAAGTTTTGTAACGGCGCGACCCAATGTTAACTTATGGGATAAGTCCACCATAGAAATGCTAAAAGGATGGCGGGTTGGCAACGAGAAGGTTAAGGAAGCAAGCCGGCTGACCCAGTATCAAGAGTACCAACGGACAGCGATGAATCTTGTTCATTGCGCGCACATTTCAACTCATTCAGGGAATTTTGGGCCCAAGAAGGAGGAAACCACACGTCGACTGAGGTCTTGACAACATCCCATGGTTGATCGATGTAAGGAACTAAGCTCATTTTGCGTGTTTGTGTACGTCACGAAGTCACAATTCTTAAACAATTCTTAAACACAGACGGCAGCCCTGGAGTCTTTTCCTTCTCCATATTACAGAATATCCATAGACCAGATTGAGACTCTCTCGGTCTATTCGTTTTTACATCGCGTCTGTATCCAAAATTAAAATCCAGTCTTCTGCCTCACGTTCAACATCATCTTTCGCCTTGAAGACTCGAAGATGTCGCGATGTCAAAAGATGCTCTTCAGGCTGCTTCATATTTTTGGGAAGAGAGTGCCAAAATACTCGAGACTGCCAAAATACCCCGCCATACTTTGTTTGGATGAGCGCATCTTACAGAAGATCTACCAACACCTCTCACTGGTCGATCAAGTTTGTCTATCCCTCAGCTGCAAAGAGCTCTTCGGCCTATTCGGGACGATAGTGAAGCACAAACATCTTGAATTTCCACGACTCTTGCTTATTAGGAATCCAATCCTGTGCGTGAACAGTCAGGATGTGCCGCGAAATCAACTCCTGCTTCGACTCGAAAATCGTCGCTGGGCCTACTGTGGAAAGTGTTTGAAACTCCATCCACGGAAAGAATTCGTGAGACATTCACTGGCAATATCAGCTCTCGAGAGACCCTGCACTTACTACGCTGGTATAGCTGACCTATGTCCCTGTATTTCTCTGACGATCCGAGGTCGAGACCAGCTTGTCAAGATCCTCAAATCACCCGCGAGTCAGCCCAAAACCAAATACGGCCCATTTGAGTATGACTTTAACGATACAGGAGAACCCAGCCTTGTCCACCGCTGTTTCTTTAGCATTAGGTCTGGCTGCCTTGTGCGAGTTGCTCTGATGGTATTTATGGAAACTGGCCAGTTATGTGTAGTGGGTTGGCATACTATAAGCTTTTCCTCCCATGCTCATCTTACAGCTGAGCCTAGCTTTGCTTGTCCTCATCAGGATCTCCTATCTCTCGTCTCCAGGAATCAAACCGAAAAAGATCTTCACATGCGCCGGACTTTGATTTCTTCAAAACCTCGTCGGGATCTCCTGCCTCATGTCCCCGTGAAGCTAGTCTCAGGAGCGTGTCCCAGGTGTCAGACTTTGATTGCAAAAAACCCTTTGTCTGAAGACAAGAATCGGGCTGATTTCTGGGTGGTTCGAAATCTGGGAAGGTGTGAATGGCCTGCAGACCGTCCTTGGCTTGACCAGTGTCGTCTCACCAGAGGATGGTTTTCGCAAAATGAAGAGTACTGGTGAGCTTATCAAACGATCCGCGGAGAAAGAAGAACTATTACTGAAATTTCCCTATAGGTATTCGTCGCAGAACTTGCGGAAGATGACGCAAGGTGTTTACGGTCAGTGGAAAAGAGATTACTGCCTGGAACAGGAAAGAAGGTTGCTTGAATATCAACGCAAATATCAACGCAAAGCCTCATGAACTGCAGATGAGGGAATCCAGATAGCTGCTACCATCCCGACGCTGCTTCTTGCAGCATCGTGTTGTTGAAGGAAAAAGGAAACGTGATGTGCGCTCCTGGGACAATTCATTTCTATTTTAAGGAAGAAGACTGGCTGAATGACTTTGATAAATCAATGAAACTTCATTTTCATCTCGGTACAGGACATGTCCAAGCTCCAGCATTTGGTATCCAGCATAGAGAGTGGCGACGATATGTACATGAATTGATGCTGTCACCCTGATAATTGAAGCTGCACTGCACTCTTTGGCTGGAAGCGAGCCAGACAGCGCCAGCGGTGGAATCTCCGGCACTCGATTTTTCCGCTCCGTTGCCCCCCCCCCTCTCCCGTCAGTGCGGCCGCCTTAGCTTCCAAATCGGCTGCTTCATTTGTCAGAAAGGCCCTGTGACTGCCCTGGATCCGCTCACACAAAGAGAGATCAATTGGCTCTGTCAGTTGCACTCCAGCGAGGATTCTTTTTCCAAAATATGGATCTCATGTGGCTCCTGTCCTGCGCGCATTGAGCAGGATATCAATGGACCACCGAACATCCTGGCTGTCGAGAGTTTGGGGACAGGACAGTGAAAACATCAGTGACCAATCAATTGAGAATAGAGCGGTCTGCGGGTGCCAAAGCCATGCGGCCAAGGCAAGGAGAGAGGCGCTCGGGACACGGGGATAGGAGAGTGGATTCGTTCTGGTTGCGCTCAGTAGTCAGTCAGACTACCTTGGGGACAATGTACTGACCCGAGCCTATCCTGGGAGAACGGATGGCATAGAGATTGTCCGTTCGAAGCAGGAATAGTGTCGACAAACAAAAGTGAGTTGTCTAATGTCATTCTCCTGCGCTCGAGATTCCCAAAGCAATGAATCACTTACATGTGGGCTCGTCTTGGCTTCACCCGAAGGTTACTAGTCACCAGCACTGCGAAGAAGTGCGAGCCCGTCGCTGGTGGCCCCACCACTCCATCTATCAAGGTGAGCCGCCTCGAAAGATGGAGCTCTCCTACACCATTCCCTCGGCCACCGCTTCCCGGGTGTAGGGGTGGGGTCTCGAAGTGTACTAATCCAGTCAACGGATCTCGCGTCTTCGGAGACGACCTGAGTCAAGTTGACCTTCATGCCCTGCGCCTAACCTGTCTTCGCCAGTGCCCCCTCCGACTCGCGGCACCGAACAGCCCTGCCACCATCTGAGTTAGATGGTGCCGAAGGATCGGGAGTTTCGACTCTCCCGACAGGGCCTGGTGGAGCCTGGAGCTGCTCAGAGAGCTGGTCTGAGGGGGCCGGTGCGGCAAGAACGCTTCCTCCAGAAGCCTCTGTTCTGCCCACACCACCTGACTCGAGATCGGCTACACAGTGCACATCATTCTGGTCCGACGGCGGCCACAGTCGGGGAAACCAGTAGTGCAGCCATGCTTTGACAGGGAGCAGCATACTTGCCACCGACACTCCGAGACCGACACAACTAATAATCAGCGCAATCCAGCCTACTTGCATGATGGGTGAGTGTATAACTTGCCTTGGAATTTGTGTGGTCGCGCGAGGAGAGGAAAAGAAGAAGACATAATGAAATCGAGCCAGGAAATCCTTGTAAACCCACGGTGGAAGCTATTGCGAAGGCAGGTGCATCCATCGTGGAGGAAGGTACGATGGGAAGAAAAGTATGTGCGAAGATCCTACAGGCACAGGAACGTCGAATCTAGTACACGGGTTCCTAGCCAAGACCAAAAGGAAAGAACCATTCCGCATGGGAAAAACTAGAGCTGAGTGTCGGGGTTGTTCGTAGATAAGTCGAATGAACAAATTTCTAGGTCACGGCGGACGTTCGTCTAATGAGATGCTCACAACCCGCTCATACGTGAGGGATGCAGCTGTGAGAGACCCATGAGGTTACCGCCGGCAAGTGTGGAAAGGGCAGTTACGTATGATCACTGATGGCCATAACAGACAGGTCATTTATAAGAAGGCCACTAGCATCTACTGCTTCCCCGATGAGGATTCTCCAGAGACAAAAATCGAGGGCGCCAGTCGATGACTTGGTGCGCCCACAAACACACTGATCCAGGATGCACTTCCTGTCTTCTTACGTCTTGGGGTGGTACCTCTTATATTGAGATTCGGCGTAACAGGAATGATCTGCCGAGATTGTTGGTTTAAGTAAAATCTCCTAAGGTCCCTTCAGACTATTGTGCCAGTGCACAATACTGGAGGCCGCAGTAGTAATACCCTAGATCCGCTGCATGAAGAAAACCTTTTAACATTGCACCCAACGCAACACAAAGGATAGTCTACTGACTCTATCACTGATCCTTGAGTTTTTAGAGACATAGTCAGAGTGTGATAAGCGCGGCGGTTGACAATCGCCTCATTTGGTGACCGACGCAGGGGTTGCGTCAAGATCATCTGGATCTCCGCCGGGGTTGTCAGGGTGCCAGTACTGGCACCCAGGGACGCGTCTCTGGGGTAGAGTCGCGATCGAGGGCAAGGCATCCGGGTAGCGAACAGATGGAACCAAAGAGACACTCGCAGATTCCTACATCAGTTGAATGTTCCGCGACAATCGAAGATCTTCTGAAATGGGACAAGGTAGGCACGTATATTGCTACAATAATGGTAGCTCTGCCATTCAACGAAAATCAAATACACAACAGCATAAGGAGGTGTAATAGTAGAATGAGACTTGGAAAAATAGTCAAATTAAGAAATGCAGGTCAGTATATCATCAATTCCTGGTGTTTGAGGAATACATCGCAAATGCTGGTAAACTACTTTTCCCAGGAAATAATACCCGCAATTTACATGATCTGATCCTGCGTGATTCCGGTAGTGGGTTCTGCGCCTTCCATGGGTTCGCCTTGGCCTTGGTCTGCATTCAAGTACTTGACAAACGTGATACCGAGAGGACGACCACCATACTGATAACCAGTGAATTTGGCTGCCGAGGAGTTAGCCAGCTTGCGGTCAATGATATTTTCCAACTGTAACATACCAATCGCAGTCTCCGCAGTCTCCGCATTGTCGAACTGGACTACACCAGTGCCACGAGAGCGTCCGTTGGGCTCGTACTGAATTTCAGCACGTTCAACCTTGCCGATGGTGGAGAAGAGATCCACCAGATCATCATTGCAAGTAGACCATGGCAGCTGGTGATCAGGATCGTTAGCACAAGCTCCTCGACGGCGGAGATAAAAAGTCGTGTGAGTCAAAAGGCTAAACTCACATTGCGCACGTAGATGATGGGACTCTTTTCTCCTCCAGAGGTTGCAAAGTCAGTGAATGGGTTGGGGGCAGCCGATGCGGCTGGCTCGAAGTTCTGGGGGCCTCCAAAACCACCGGCTCCACCGTAGCCACCCCTGAAGCCGCCGCCGCCAAATCCGCCACGGCCGGCAAAACCACCACGACCGCCAAAGCCACCCCGGCCGAAGCCACCGTAGCCACCCCGGCCGCCGAAGCCGGGTCCGGAACCGGCAAAGCGGTCCTCACGGACCTCTAATGTCCGTCCCTGCCAGTCGTAACCGTTGAACTGTTGAATAGCGTTGCGCGCATCCTCGGGAGATTCGAAAGCGACAATACCGGAGCCCTTGGGACGGCCAGTTGCGTCGGTGTGAACGTCGGCGCGGATCACAGCACCTTGCTGGGCTTTCATGACGGTCAGACGTTAACTTCGATATGCAATATCGCCGATAGAAGGCTGCCGCGGAGCGGTTTTGCACTTACCAGCTTGGCGGAACAGATCCTTCAGGTCCTGCCAACCGACATTGAAGGGGAGCTAAATCAAGATTGTCAATACTTATAACCGGATCTACGACGGAGCATTATATGATTCGAGTAGGGGCAACAAACGTTAGACACATAGAGTTGTCTTCCACCACCGCCAGGAGCACCACCCGGGGGGCCACCGTAGCCTCCGAAGCCACCTCGACCAGCACCCCCAAAGTCTCCTCGGGAAGGTCCACCAGTAAAGCGTGGTTCGGGCTCACGGTCCTAGTCAAATCCTGTCAGCGTACACAATGGGCGAGAGACGCGCACAGATCGGGTTGCGGACGTACCTCGCGAACGTAGACAAGACGACCCATGAGGTTCTGGTTGCTAAGCGTGTTGACTGCATTCTGCGCTTGCTCCCTTGTAGCGTATTCCACAATCCTGAAATATATTGTTAGCGCAGGTTCAAGAGGTAATGAGAGCCGGAAACACTCACCCGCATCCCTACAATGTCCGGACGGCCAGGCCCAGCCCGTCAACCCAAATCGTCCATGCAAGAAACCAAGGAAATCCAGAAGTAAAAAGAAAGAAGAAAAAGAAAAAGCCAGCCACGCTACGCATTGGTGCCCACCTTCGACATTCCGTTGGGAAGTAGTAAGACGTCGGCAAAGATAACTTCTCCAGCTGTATGAACGATGCGGAAAATCATTCCCCCCAAAGTCAGCCACAAGTTTTCATCCAACAAAAGCTGCGTCGCACTGCCGACACGATATGACCCTGCTCACCCTGTCTCATAAAGTCCTTGAGATGATGCCACTTGACATCGTAGGATAGGTTGCCAACATAGACCCGGCGGTCCTGTTGGGACGACTCGCGTACCGATTGCATCATTTGTTCTTTGGCGACTGCGCGATCCTCAAAAGATCTCGAAGGAGGGTAACTGCTGCGGCCACCGTAACCAGATCCTGAATGTCCTCCAGTTGCGCCCTGAGCAGTACTCATAGGAGACCGAGACCGGCGATCACTGCGGCGATAATCGTCACGACTGCGAGAGCGACTGCGTGGGGAGTACGAGCGACGGCTTCGTCGAGGACTGCGAGAACGTCGGCGGGGCGAGCGAGACCTCTCGCGCTGCGCGTAGTCAGTGTCAAAAGAGTCGGAAGGCATCGACGAGTCTAGACCGAGCCTGGAAGACTAAAAAAAAGAGAAATCGATAAGAAGCGCGAGTAGCGAAAGGGGTATGGTTGAAATGAGAGGCTAGGAAATGACGGGAATGTAACGTCTCAAGGGGGGCTGGTCTGAGACTGTCCTTCCCGAGTTTCGTGGAAACCCCAACGCTAGCGCTGAGATCCGGCAGAATGGGAGATCAGGTGACACCGCCTGCGCAACAGCGCGCAGACCTCAGAGAGTTGAGGACCCGGGGAGAAAAGGACACACAGAAAGTGAAGATTTTTATCACGGAAATGAAGAAGGACAAAATTGAGAAAATCAAGGTAGAAGGAATCTTGCGACAAACAACATGGTGCAGAGTGCAAACGAGACGTTAGAAGGGGGTTACATGCAACTGATAGGGACAGTGGGTACCCGGCATCATCAGCCGCGCGCCATCAGCCCCAGGAAATGGGAACTATGAAGGCATATGAAACTCATTTCTGAGCAAGGAAAGAATATTTTCTGCTCAAGAACATTTGGGAGTGACATTCTGATGGCAGGTGATGGACTATAGAATGTGCACTAGATAAAAACACGACAGAAGCTCATGACTTACTTGGGATGGTCGATAGACGTCGGCTGGAGAAGAGCACTTAATGTAAGCCAAGAGTCCACTATCAACGCGATCGGAAATAGGAGCAGCGAAGACAATCAAAGCAAGTGCCAGGGAGGCGAGAAGGGTAAAAGATATGAGGAACGAAACGATTCAAAGGAAATGAGAAAGATGAGTTTGAGAGAGAGTAAACAGCGGGAAGATGGAAAGTAAAATCAACCACACTTGTCAACCAGTTTGTTGTGTGTGTGCGTGTGCATGTATGTTTGTCAGATCATCGGAAGTGTCAGGGCAAAGGTAAGGGAGGGAGGGAGAGAGGGATGGTAACGGTTGATGGGAATCCCGTGGGGATCCGAAGGGTTGCAGCGCTCTCTCAACCAGGATGATTCGCTCGCGGATAACGAGTAGGCCGTGGATGGCTCTTACCTGGTATTGACAGCGCAGTAGAGTTCCGGGAATGTTGGGGGAAAAGAATTTTTGATGGAGAGAGGGACCAAGGATTGGATGGACTGATGAAGGGATGAAGCGGGTGGATAAATGGATAGGAAGAGGGGGTGTGAAAGGTGATGGTTCCTACAGTAGTAGGTACAGTAGTACGATGGTAGTGGGTGACTATTCGGGGTTGGGGGAGGGGGGGAAGGAAAAGGGACGGAAGGTGGGAGAAGTAGTAAGGGTACAAGGTAGATAGATTGTGTTGAACGCTGAATGTCAAGCGTCAAGCCGACGGTATGTGCAAGACCCCGAACAGTGATTGGACTGAGAGCAGCCTTGGAGGTGGCCAAGACAGGGGGTTGACAGAAGGAAAAGGTGGAGGTGATTGTTCAGGAGAGCAACACAAGGCTAACAGTGCTCTGTAAGGTAGTAAAAACAAACTTGTGAGGAGGAGGATTTGAGGCGAGACGCAATGGAGATACCACGAATACAGAGGGATACGTGTTGTTGTGGTTGTGGTTGTGGTGGTGACGATTGATAATGATGAGGAAGACTTGAAAAAGAAAAGAAATAAACGAAGAAAGATGTAGATGGTCACTCACCCATGATGTTGTGTTCTTGTTGTTAGCTGCGAGATGTGATGTGACAGTCGACGATGACAATCAGATGTGATGGATGGATGGTCTGGAATCTGAATCCTCCCGAGTTGAAGGTCTGTCTGGTCTGTCCTGCTTGGTGTCCGTCCAGGCTGTGGATTTAAGAGCGAATGGGCTCTCAGACCTGGGGAAGGGAGTAGCAAATGAACGATAAGTAGGGGGAGGACTAGAGTAATAAGAGACGATAATATCAGAGGGGATCGAGGGGCATACAAAAGGGGAAAAAAAAAAAGAAAACAACAGGCCGAAGATAGGGAACACTGCTTGGGACTGTTTTGAGGTCAAGCAGAGTTCATGCAAACTTTGCCGGTATACAGAGTATCTACCAGCGATTCAGTTATCCCAATTGTGGAGAAAGATGGAATCTCCCAGTACTCAATAATTGCAGACTTTTTGATAGAAGGTATTGATTGTTTTGATATGAGGAGTGGAAAGAAGCACTGAGCAGATGCGGAAGCGGAAAAAGTGGATGAGTCCAATGGCCACGCACCTGGGGTTAAGTACGGAGTACGCAGTAGTCGAGACTAGTATATCGAGACTAGTATATCCCATATGCTGCTGTCTGTTACATGATACTATTGACATTAACTACTCCACTATTGATTTTTCAATTCTGTGTTCATCGAACCGTCTGGTAATTTTGTTGATCCGGAAGGATCATAATAGCTACACCAGAGAGAGGTACTACTGGTAATAATCACTGTTCTCAGTCTGAGACAGCCAGCCGACCATCGATCAAATATATAGGCCAGCCAAATGTGATTTAATTTGGTGTAGTTAGCGCTGCAGCCTACTAGTGTTGATAATCAGGCCTAATCATCCTATCTTTCTAGATGTATATAAATTCCTCATCACATGGAGAAGTTAACAATGGTCAGACATTTATTGCTCTTGGACAATGCTTGGAAGGAAATATATCCATGAAGTATCTATACAATGCAAGCCGACATATAAGGCCACTTCCGTTCAGTCATCATCGACTGAAGATGATCCATTATCAGCAATCAAGATAATAAAACATAACACCATGTCGAATTGCTGTGGCCTGGACTGCCTGCTGATTTAATGAAGAATGAATTCTTTGACAGGAAGATCAGCTTGGCTCAGCTCAGACCACCGCTTATACCGAGATTCCTTCTCCGGCTGGCCCGACGTTCCATCCTATTCATCAAGCCACTAGTAACTTTTCTAACTGCACTTTGAGAAGACCACCAACAAGAGGAAACTCATCGAGAAATACAGTACTCTCTACAATCAGAAACAATGGCCCAGCCAGTCTCCCTTTCTCGCTGCTTCCGAAGAGAAATCAACACCCTTCTCTCGCCCTCTATTACCCTCACTTCTCGCCCCAACCACTCCTCCTACATCGCCGTGCAGTCCCGCCGTCTATACCAGACCCAAAGCTCACCGCGCCGTCTCATCCATCAACAAACCCAATTCTCACGTCCGCAACGATGCGTCGCTAGAAGATCCTACCACTCGCAATACCACCCTGAGCTGCCCCCCCACGAATACACAAACTCACAAAGCACCATCCTCTCCGCCGCGCTAAACCATGTCCCCAAGCACGGCTTCACACTCGAAGCTCTGACCCTCGGCGCCCGCGACGCAGGCTTCCTCGACGTCTCGGTCCAGCTGCTCCCACGCGGCGAGTTCGATCTCGTCCTTTTCTGGCTGGCGAGCCGGCGCGGCCTTTTGCGAGGGAAAGTCGAGAACGGGTTCTTTGAGAAAGTTGCGGCCCAGGGGAAGGCGTTGTCTGTCGAGGAGAAGACCAGGTTGCTTATCATGGAGCGGTTGCGGATGAATACGGAGATTAAACATCAGTGGCAGGGGGTAAGTTTTCCGAGGAATTGCATTGCATACGGTTGAATGGTTCTAACTAGCACTGATATCCCCCAGGCCCTGGCTCTCATGTCCCTCGCTGGAAATATCCCTCTGTCGCTCTCCGAGCTGCATGCTCTATCCTCTGATATTCTGGATCTTGCTAGAGACGCCTCGGTCGATGCATCATGGTATACCAAACGGCTGTCCATCGCTGCCATCTACGCCAGCGCCGAGGTTGTCATGACCCGTGACTCGAGTCCCGATCTCTCCGCTACGCAGGCTTTTGTGAACCGTCGTATTGAGGATAACAAGTATATCGGTGATAAGGTTACTGGTATCAGGCAGTGCCTGGGCTTCATGGGTTCCACTGCTGTTGGGTTGGGTAGGAGTTGGGGTTTGAAGATCTAGTCTGAAGGGGTACAGCCTCGACTGTAATGAGGTATAAGTGGAGTGGATACTGTATTCATATTCTAATGTAGAGTTCCGGCATTGTATAATATACACCTCCTTTCTTCTGCCTCTGGCAGTAAGACTGTATTCACCACTACAGATTAAACCTATCTGCAAGTAATCTCGTCGAGCTCTGTATGTTTCGGATCTCCTCCACACGCTTCTCCAATCGCGGCAACCACCCGTTCTCCCCAAACAACTCCCTCACGGCTGTCCGATTCGGTGCCATATCCCACCACGGATCACGGAGCGAACCCCGATTCTGATTCTCGCGACGCACCCGTTTCCAATGATTTTTGAGGTCTCGTTCTCGCTGCTCGGAGATAGCCCTGAGCAGTCCGCAGGTTCGCTCATCCGGCTCCACCCCTGTAGTCTCCATTTCCTTCAGCAACGACACAACACTAGGTAGATCACTGCACCCGCGCCAGTAGAAGTAGATCAGCTCGTTATACAGACCCGTCGAACTCCCCAGCACGGCTGAGGTCCTGCCGTGCGACTTGATCGTCGAGCGGAACTGACCGATCAAGGGCGAGCCTGGGAAGTGCGAGTTCAGAAGACGGAATGCCAAGAGAAGCATTTTCGGGTAGAGCATTGTGACGACTGCTTCCACCGACACGGATTCAGGGACCTCCAGAGGGCCGTGAGGGGTTGGCTCGCCCGCTGAGCTTGCCGGCGACGTGCCACTGTCTTCCGGTAACCGGCTATCTCCGAGATATCGTAGCATCGAAAAGATTCTCTCCTTGCACACTTCCCAGATCCCTGTATCCCCTTTGCCCTCGTCAATCGCCGCACGGAGCGCGCGCTCGATTTTCGCCGACTCCCTCTGCACGGTGAATTGAATGGCCCGCTCGACAGAGACAGGGTCATCACTGCGCAGCTCTGGAGGATTCGAGTCACCCCCTTGCTCCTGAGGCCCAGGCTTCGAAGCCGACGCGGGCTCATCCACCTTCCTCCGGGACTTGCGTTTTGCGGCACCCTCCGTCGAAGCTTCAGAGTCCTGCTTTTTCTTCCGAAGGTCCTCAAGCACAGAGTTAAAGATA